AGCAGTGCCATGCTTTTTAATGTATCTATTTTCTGTAGGAACAGTGCCATGCTTTTTAATTTATCTATTTTCTGTAGGAACAGTGCCATGCTTTTTAATTTATCTATTTTCTTTTTTTTTTTTTTTTTTTTCTTTTTTGTCTTTTTTCCGTGTCCGGCTACGGATCGCAACCCTCAGTGTTGCCCCCGTACCGGACCGGCGACGGGATCGCAAGCCTCGGCGCTGCTCCCGCGCCTCGCTCAGCCAGTGAGCGGGAGCCGGTCTGTACGTGGGATCCGAACCCTCGGACGGGAGCGCCGCCGCGCTTCCCAAGTGGCGCACTATCCAGTGCGCCACCGGGCCGGCCCAAATTTATCTATTTTCTATGGCTGCTTTTGCACTATGATGGTAGCCTTACATAGTTTTGATAGACTGAATGGTCCACAAGCCCTAAAATTTTTTTTTTTTTTTCCACACCTAAAATATTTACCTTGTCCTTCTCAGGAAAAGTTTGTTAACTCCCAATCTGTATCATTTTTGGTGGCTACATTAATTTCTGTAGTAGTGTAGATATGCTAGAATTTATGTAACCTGTTCTTTATGGAAGACTATGTGAGCTTCCATAGCCTTTCTAGCTTTTTCAATTTTAAAATTAGTCCATCAGCACCTGTATGTATATATCTTCGTGCACATATATAATTATTTTCTTTGGACAGGATTCTAGAAGTGGGATTGCTGGAACACCTGGCTTGCATTATTAAATTCTTCTAATGTGAATTTCTAACTTACCTTCTTTAAGGTGGCACCAATGTATAACGCAGTGTGAGAGTGTGTGTTTTGCTCCAAACTTACTAACATGTTATTGCCAATCTTTTAAATTTGACTGTGTACTAAATGTAAAATGTTATTTGTCACTTCAACATACATCTTCTTAATTAATAGCAACATTTAATATCTTTGGTAGGTTAACTTCTGTTATTCATGCTCAGGTTTCTCTAGGTGTAATAAGAAATTCTGGGTATCAGTGGCAGGAGCAGAGTTGAAAAAGAACTGGCTTTGTAGTTGCTAGATTGTGGATTCAGAACTCAGATATGTCATGTATTAACTGGATTTAGGTTCCTGTTTCCTGATGCTTGAAATGGAGATTACAGCAACATTGCAGAGCTGTTCTAAGGATTAAATATCTATATATATGGGATGCATCATATACATTGGTTTTTTTTTATTGATGGCAGGGGACATAAATTCACCTCTCCCTCCAGTTTGGGTACCAAGGGAGAGGGCAGGGTATGAATGATATCATGCAGAAAAACTGTGTGGATGATTCTGATTGGGGGAAATGGGGAGTGGTGAGCCCGGAGGACTCAAGGAGTTCTAGTTCAGGCTAGGGGAAAGGATCCTACTGTGCAAGTACAATTTTGTAGTGATAAAGGCTGTTGTGCATTGTCTATGCCAGAGGTCAGCAAACTTATATATATATATATATAAAGGGCCAAATAGTAAATATTTTATGCTTTGTGGGCCATACAGTCTCCATTGCAACTACTCAACTCAGCTGTTGTAGCTTTCTGAAAATAGCCATACATACCGAGTATACAAATGGGCATAGCCGTGTTCCATTCAAACTTTACATACAAAAACATATGGGTGGGCCATAGTTTTCAGACTCCTTGTCTATTCTGTCTTTTGTCTTGAAGTCTAGGTAGCCCAGAAAGGTCCTAAGGCCATGAAGGTGGTCTGCTTTGGATCATGTGGTCCCTTTTAGAGGGTGAGAACTGAGGGAGAAGAATCTAGTTCTGAACATCCCAGTCTCGGGCTTAGATCAGCATCCTCATGGAGGGGATTGGCCAAAACTCTCCTGCTGAAGTACTGGTCATGTGCTCTACTTCCAGCAGACCTCTGTTCTGTGTCCATCCTTGTACAGCCAGGTTTTCTTGGTGTGGCGAGAGTATGTGTGTGTGGGAGGAGGTATTGGCAAGCAAGAATGGAGAAGAAAAGATTCTTAATTTATATTATTTTGTTATATTTGAGACAAGCCTGGTCTCATTGCCTCATTTTCTTCTTGCCCAATTCAGGGTTCTCAGAACTTTGCACCTTAAGGAAGACTGACCAGTTCTTGTGATCCTAAAACCATGGCCCATGTAAGTTGCTGTTTCTCTATTTTTATTTTATTTTATTTTATTTTTGCCCTTTAATATCATGGGAAGAGGGCTGGCTGGTTGGTTTAGTTGGTTAGAACGCCACCTTGCAACACCGAGGTCAAGAGTTTGGATCCCATACTGGCCAGCTGCCAAAAAAAAAAAAGATCATGAGAAGATTTTCATTTATGCTGAAACTTCCTATCTAACAGAATTTTTCTTTAATCTCAACCTTACCGACTCCTCCTATGTGCCCCTCTCTTCTCTAATCAGTATCCATCTCTGCATTGATCAAATCGTTCAGCATCTCCTGTCTACTCAGTCTCTGTCTAGAGGAGAAATGGAGCAGAAACAAAGTCAGTAGAGGGAGGTATTTGACCATCCCTTGTCAGATTTGCAGTGTAATGAAAGAAAGGATGGACTACACATGAAGTATAATGAAACAGAGGATTTGACTACACCTGGGAAAACTCTGAAGTTTTCCCAAAGATCCGGGTCTATAAATAGAATGCAATTTAGTGTTGATTGGCCTCAGTCTTCATATGTGATAGGGGGATGCCTATAGAGAGATCACGAGCTCTTTCCTCAGAATCTCTTGAGAGGTAAATATTCATAATAGGATCCATTTTATGGTTGAATGGAATGTGCTGGTGTTGACATGTGATTCTGGTTCATCCTACACCAATATTTTTTATCTTGGGAACAAGGTAGGTATATAATTATAAGAAAATCATCCAGATGCATAAATATTAAATCTATTCTCCCAGAATTAGAGAAGGCTTAAGAGATACTATCCAACATAAATGTCTTATTTTCTGAATTCTGTGATTAAGTGTTGAATAACCATATAATTGACTATTATATAGCTGACAGAAATTATTTATAATAGAATTCATCAAAATAAGGAAAAATTACTATATAATGGCGTAATGATGAATTTGAGGCTTAAAGAAATTCTTTAATTTTAAACAAACCCATTATTATAAGAAAGATTTTATACAGCATCTAAGAAAAAAATCCATGATATAAAAAAAATTTTCTTTTTTTTTTTTCCCTTTTTGTCTTTTTTCGTGACCGGCAACGGATCGCAACCCTCAGTGTCGCACCCGTACTGGACCGGGACCGGCAACGGGATCGCAACCCTCAGTGTTGTGCCCGCACCTCGCTCAGCCAGTGAGCGGCCGGTCTGTATGTGGGATCTGAACCCTCGGCGGGAGCGCCGCCACACTCCCAAGCGGCACACTGTAGCAGTGCGCCACCGGGCCGGCCCAAAAAAAAATTTTCTTAAAGGAAAAAGGAGATGTAGGATTCCTCTTTTTCCCTTAAATAATTTTAGTAATTATTTGTCTATTAAGCAATAACTTATTGATAATTTTCAAGGCAAGAATATTTTCTTGTGTCCACTATTTCATTTAATTGGGAAACATTTATTTGTTGCCTGAAATGTTTGAGTAATTAAAGAACCCCATGATGTGTAGGAAATTTTGCATACAGCAATTAGATTCTTCAGAAAAATGAGGTGACTCTACTTCAGAACACCAGTTTCCTTCCTGTCTCCTGCCTTTGTCATAGGCTTTCAGCCCCAGCCTGCAGTTTGGTATAGTCCGCCTTGCTGCAGTGTGATCTTTCATCTCATATTCTTTCTTAATACATTGCTATGTATTGAATGTTTGTTCCTTCCAAAGCTCAGGTTGGAACTTAATCTCTGATATGGTATTTGAAAGATGGGGCCTTTAAGAGGTGACTGGATTATGAGGACTGTGCCTTCATGAAGGCATTAATTGATTCATGGATTAATGGGTTAATGGTTTAATGGGTTGTCAGGGAGTAGACTGGGGGCTTTATAAGGAGAGGAGGAAAGCATGTGGACATGCCCTTACTCAGCCCTATCATATGTAGTACCCTGTGTTGCCATGGCGCTCTGTAGAGAGTCTCACCAAGATGAAAGCCCTCACCAGATGCATCACCTGGACTTTGCACTACCCAACCTCCAAAACTGTAAGAAATAAACCTCTTTTCTTTATACATTACCCATTTCTAGGCATTCTGTTATTAGCAACAGAAAATGGACTAATAAATATATGGTCTGTAATTTTACCAGTAACATGTTGGTTTATGGTTTCAGGCATCGGTGATATTCAGCGATGTGGCTGTCGACTTCTCTCAGGAGGAGTGGGAGTGCCTGGACCCTGCTCAGAGGGACTTGTACAGAGATGTGATGTTGGAGAATTATACCAACTTGGTCTCACTGGGTAAGGCCATCTACCTCAAATAATTCAGACTCTGCTCTCTGAAATAGTAGTTTTCTCTTCCTTGAATTCAGGACTGTTGTTTAAGAAACTAGCTGAATTTCTTCTCTGTTTCTCAAGGACTGGGCTGAACTTTATTGGTTCGTAAATGGCACTTCCACTAAATACCTTCATTTTCACCATACTGTAGTGGTCCTCTTGAAACATTCCTTAATTCATTCCTATAATTGCCTCTTCCTTAATGACTAAGGGACTGGATTTGAATTCTGAAACATTTACTCCAAAGTCAATGTCAAAGAAGTCAGGTTTCCCATTGTATTTGAGCTTAGAATTGCTATGGATGTTCTGTCACTGTGTTATTTGGTGGCCTGCCTGCAAGGATAACAGCCCCACCCTGGCCTACAAGTTATATGTTGTGGTTTAAATAAACAAAATCTACTTAAAATTAAAGTGAACATATTCTGTTTCCTACAACAAGCATTCTCTTACTTGATTTGTGATTGAATATTAAAATCCATTAACTTAGCATTTAACTTTGAGTGAATATCTTAGCAAGAACCTAAAAATAGGAAGCTTCTTGTTTTGCTCTAAGTAAATTAACAGCAGCAAAAATAATACTAGCTGACAGAATGCGTATTGTATATCAGGAACTGTTCTAAGTTCTAAATGTTAGCTATGAGATAGGTAGAACTTTTATTTTCATTTTACAGTTAAGAACACTGAGACCCACAGAATTTAAGCAGTTTGTTTACAATCTTAGTCAACAGTTGGCTGAGCAGAATTCGAAATCACACAGGCTGGCTCCCGATTCTGCAGTTTCAATCACTGTTGCCTCTCAATAGAGCAAGCCTGAATGAGCTTCAATTCCAAAATGAGACGTTTCCCTTTCCCATCAAGTTTTTTATTCTCTGTGGCCCTGAGGTTACCCAAAATTGAAACATTTTTTAATTCTATCAGTTTTCTCCGAAGTCTTTATATCGTTTTGATCCATAGTTTATTATAAATTTATAAGTCTCAAAATGTTTTGAACTTGTGATGTTTTACTTCTACATCTTGTATTTCTTTCTTATGGGTAGGATATTCTGCCTCGAAGCCAGATGTGATTACCTTACTGGAGCAAGGGAAAGAGCCCTGCATGGTGGTGAAGGATGTGACAGGAGGATGGTGCCCAGGTGAGTGAAAGCTCATCAGGAAGATGGAAGTTGCTAGTAAAGGTCAGGGAGGATGCACAGGATTTCCATGTTTGGGAAGTTAACTTCAGAGGCCTCAGACCTTTGAAGGAAAGGCCTAAGATGGGGAAGAAAACATTTTCTTAGCATGAACTACCAAAAGAACTTTATCTGAGCTCTCAGTAACCACTGTCTTTGTTTTTTTTCCTCACATTACCCTCTCATTTCAATAACGAGAATGTCTTTTTCTTTCCCAGCGCAATCAATTGCTTTCTGTGATGTCTGCATTGACTCATATGCTTGTTTCCATTGCCTACAAGTTCATTCTTTTATGTATTGAGCATATATTTACTGAGTGCCCATTCTGAGCACTTGGTGAATAAGGCCAAAACCTCCCCACACTATTGGAGTTGACATTGTAGTATGAGAGACAAACTGTAAACTGTAAACAAATGAATAGAAAATATAATATTAAATAATGATGCATGTTATGAAGGAAAAGTATGAAGGGTAAGGAAATAAGAGTTTGGGCAGGGTTAATTTCAGTGGGGTGCTCAGGGAAGGCTTTTCTAAGGACGGGATGTTTGGGATGTTTGTGTAGAGACATGAAATAAGGGCTTAGGCCATGTGAATATCTGGAAGAAGATCATTCCAAGTGAAGGGGGAAAATGAGCTTTGTACATTTGAAGAACAGCAAAAAGTTCAAAGCAGGATTACAGGAGGATGAGTAACTAAATATGAGAGATTTGACGTACCCTCATATGAGTTTAGAGTTGAGCAGGGGCCAGGCTTTATATAATTTATCATAGTGATAAATTTGTATTTTTCTTTACTAAGAGTGATTGGAAGCCATGATATAATGTATGTTTTTAAATGATCACTCTAAATGCTTTGTGGAGAATTCTAAGTGGGGGCAAGATTAGAAGTAGATCAGTTAACAGGCTATTTCAGATGTCTAGATTAGCAGTGGTAGTGGCTTGGATTAGGAATAGTGGTGGGGGTGGTAAGAAGATGCCGTATTCATAGTAGGTTTTGAAAGCAGAGCTAACAGCCTGGTTTTGTAAATAAAGTTTTATTGGAACACAGCCACAACTATTTATTTACATATTGTCAATGGCAGAGTTGAGTAATTGAGACAGAAACCGTATGGCCTGTAAAGCCTAAAATATTGACTGTCTGGCTCTTCGCAGAAAAAGTATGCTGATCCCTCATCTAGGGAATGAGTACTGAGAGAGTGAAGAAGCCAGAAGGTTGGTGATGATCTTGTGTCGAGAAGACAAGGTTTCAGTGGAGCGTGAGGGTGACAGGCTGGTAGCTGTGGCTCAAAGAGAATGGGAGATGACGCAGTGGTGAGGGTGAGATAGAAAACTTCTTTAGTGGAAATTTGGTAGGAAGAGAACTAGAGATGGGGTTAGTAGCTAGAAGGGGACATGGGATGTAAGGAGTATATTTCAAGATGTGAAATTTTAGGATGAGAATGATTCCATAGAAAGAAAAAAAAAATCGTAGTAGAGGGAAGGATAATTATGGAAATTGGAGAAGGGTAGGATCCAGTGCCCGAGAGGAATTGAGAGAACGAGAGATACGACTATGGATGCAGGCGGGTTGACTGATGTGACAAAGGGGAGATTCTGTATTTCTTTTCAACATTTCATTTTTGTTAGAGGAATAAGGGAGATTATCAGCCAGAATTGGGAGGGGCGAAGGAAGAGTTGTGTGGTTGAGGTGAAAGAAGTTAAATATATTTTTAATACTGGTGTTCAGTTTACCAGCACTTCAATGGCTTGTTCACTTTTTATCTTCTCTTAATCAGCAGTGAACAATAATAACAGTTAACATTTACTGATTGTTTACTGTATACCAGGTGTTGTTCAAAGCACTTTTCATACCTAGCTCATGTAATTATAAGAGAGGTGCTATTATTATTGGCATTTTACAGATAAAGAAACAGGAACAGGTAGAAGTTAAATACCTCACGTAAGATGAAGTGTTGGAGATGGAATTCAAACTCAGCCTGCCTTTAAAATCTTTATTCTTAATGAATGATTGTGCCTTCCTACATTCGTTCATTTATTGGCTCTTTTGGCCAAATATATATATATATATATTTTTTTTTTTTTCAAGAGATAGAGAGTTTAAAACATTAAATTGAAATTTTCAGTCTAATAGGGGAATTAGAACATGTAAAATCTATAAATAAATATAACAGTGATTCTAATAGCATACTTAGATGAAAGGGTGGAAATGTGGACACTGGAGGCTCTTGGGAAAAAAATGAAAGCAGCGATGTGACAAGAGTGATGAGGAAGGAGGGTTGGAGGGAAAGAGGAGGAAAATCAGGAAGTACAGGGTCTGGGAAGCCAAGGGTAGCTTGTCAAGAAGGGGATCTGGTTCCATTCAACAAATTCAATGGAGTGCAGTGGGCAGAGGTTATATTGTAAGGAGCATGCACTACTTTTTCATTTGAAAATAAAGGAAATAGAAGAATCTTTTTTTTTTTCTTGCTGACTCAGCTCTGCTTTATTTTTTAAATTTGTTTATTTATTACGAATATTCATGAGATACAAAGCTGATTGTCCCCCCTCCTGTCCATGATGTAGGCATATCCATTACCAGAAATTACTTTTGTACCCTTTGTCCCCTCCCAATTATCCCCCAACCTCCCTCCCCTTCTCCCTCTCCCTTCAACTCCAATTTGTAGCTCTAGGAACGTTCCCTCCCTCTGTTGGATCATGGCACTACTGTGGTCTTTCTTTCCTGCCTTCCTTTCTCTCTTAGCTCGCACGTATGAGTGAGCACATGTGGTATTTATCCCTCTGTGCTTTGCTTATTTCACTCAACATAAGTTTCTCCAGGTTCATCCATGTTATTGTAAATGAGAGTATTTCATTCTTTTTTATGGCAGAGTAGAATTCCATAGTGTATGTATACTACAGTTTCCTTATCCAGTCATCTATTGATAGACATTTAGGTTGGTTCCATACCTTGGCTATTGTAAACAGCTGCAATAAAAATGGGAGTGCAGTTATCTCTTTGACATGATGATTTCCATTCCTCTGGATATATACCCAGAAGAGGGATTGCTGGTTCATATGGAAGATCTATCTGTAGTTGTTTGAGAAACCTCCAAATTGTTTTCCAAAGTGATTGTACTAATTTACAGTCCCACCAAAAGTGCAGTAGTGTTCCCTTCTCTCCACACCCTCGCCAGCATTTGTTATTCACCAGTCTAAGTGGAGTGAGGTGGTATCTCAAGGTGGTTTTAATTTGCATTTCCCTGATGACTAGTGATGTTGAGCATTTTTTCTTGTATCTGTTGGCCATTTGTATGTCTTCCTTTGAAAAATGTCTATTCAGCTCCTTTGCCCATTTTTTAATTGGGGGGGGGGTTTTTTTACTGTATGATTGCTTGAGTTCTATGTATATTCTGGATATTAGTCCCTTGTCGGATTCATAGTTCACAAAAATTTTCTCCCACTCTGTAGGTTGTCTTTTCACTCTGTTGATTGTTTCTTTTGCTGTGCGGAAACTTTTTAGTTTGGTATAGTCCCATTTATTTTTTTCTTTTGCTACTTGTGCTTTTGGGCTCATGTTCATAAAGCCTGTGCCCAGACTTAACCACTGAAGTGTTTCACCTATATTTTCCCTTAGTAATTTCACAGTTTCAGATCTCATACCTAGGTCTTTAATCCATTTTGAGTTGATTTTAGTGTATGGTGAGAGATGCATATCTAGTTTCATTCTTCTCCATATAGATGTCCAGTTTTCCCAGCACCATTTGCTGAAGAGGCAATCTTTTCCCCAATGTAGATTTTTGTTGCCTTTGTCTAATATCAGATGGCCGTAAGCCTGAGGACTGATTTCTGTGTTCTCAATTCTACTCCACTGGTCTGAATGTCTATTTTTATACCAGTACCATGCTGTTTGTGTTATAATAGCTTTGTAGTATAATTTGAAGTCAGGCAGAGTTATGCCTCTGGCTTTGTTTTTTTTTTGCTCAGGATTGCTTTGGCTATTCAGGGTCTTTTGTTTTTCCATATGAAAGGTAAGATTGTTTTTTCCATTTCTNCTTATACCTAGGTCTTTAATCCATTTTGAGTTGATTTTAGTGTACAGTGAGAGATGCATATTTAGTTTCATTCTTCTGCATATGGATATCGTTTTCCCAGCACCACTTGTTGAGGAGGCAATCTTTTCCCCAATGTAGATTTTTGTTGCCTTTGTCTAACATCAGATGGCTATAAGCCTGAGGAGTGATTTCTGGGTTCTCTATTCTACTCCACTGATCTGAATGTCTATTTTTATACCACATTACCATGCTGCTTTGGTTACAACAGCTTTGTAGTATAATTTGAAGTCAGGCAGTTATGCCTCCGGCTTTGTTTTTCTTACTCAGGATTGCTTTGGCTATTCGGGGTCTTTTGTTTTTCTATATGAAAGGTAAGATTGTTTTTTCGTTTTCTGTGAAGAATGTCATTGGTATTTTGATGGCAATTGCATTGAATTTGTAGATCACTTTGGGTAGTATAGACATTTTCACAATGTAAATTGTTCCAATCCAAGAGCATGGAATATCTTTCCATCTTTTTATGTCTTCTTTAAATTTCTTTCAGAAGTGGTTTGTATTCTCAACGTAGAGGTTTTTCACCTCCTTGGTTAAATTGATCCCTGGGTATCGTATTTTTTTGGTGACAATTGTAAATGGGCTTTCTTTATTTCTCTTTCTGTTAATTCATTATTTGAGTATATAAATGCTACTGATTTGGGGGCATTTATTTTGTATCCTGATTAAATTGATCCCTAGGTATTGTATTTTTTTGGTGACAATTGTAAATGGGCTTACTTTGTTTATTTCTCTTTCTGTTAATTCATTATTTGAGTATATAAATGCTATTGTTTTGGGGGCATTTATTTTATATCCTGCAACATTGCTGAAGTTATTAACTAGCTCTAGGAGTTTTTTGATAGTGTCTTTAGGTTTTTCTATATATACTATCATGTCA